CCCCCGCATCCCGGCGCGGCCGGGGGTCGCTCAGGGAGGCTCCGGTGGCCCCGGGCACCCCCGTGGCCCGCCCCGGGGACCACGGCTCCTGCAACAAACTCAGGAACAAGATCCAAATTATGACCATTGTGGCATGATGGCCGCAGCGCTTAGTCTGCTGGGGAGATGGAGGCTTGGAGCGAATGACACCAGGGGTCCCATTAAAGCCGTCTTGCTAGCAGCACTCCAAAGTTGCAGAGCACACACTGTTTCGAGCCGCGAAGCATCGGCAAGTTTTTATCAGCCTCGATCTGGCCCTTTTATCTGTCTCAGATTTACTTAAATCAATAGACATCAGCAAAGGCCACCGAAGAGTCCCAGCTGTTTGTGTTAGATGGAGCTGCCGTGATCAGCCTTCTCCTTGGGTTTCCAGATAGACAGACGGCATGCATGAGAGACAGAGAGACAGACGGAGAGAGAGAGAAAGAGAGAGAGGAGACACCCACTGAATTTCGGCAAGAGACTGTGGGGAAAATAGTTGATCGACGGAGCATAGAAATAAAAGCAGCTTCCTGCAACAATAGCCTGATCTGCGACCAATTGATACAAAGCAGAGGAGGCAAAAGGTATCAGTCTCGTGTGAACTCCCAGAGTGCAGCGTGGATAAAATTACACAGCATCTCTCCCCGCCACGCCACGCCACGCCACACACCCGCACACCCCCGCACGGGGGGGCTGATGCTCCGAGGAAGCATCTTCGGGATGTGGCTTTTGAAAGTGCGCATGTTAAACGCAGAGGCGTAAGAAAGGGGGTGCGGGCCCTGTTTTCTCGGGAGGGGGCGAGCACGTTTGAAGGGCTTTCGCTCAGGCGGCTGGGCTACCTCAGCGTGCCCCCCCCCCCTTTGTCCCCGAGGAAACAGTTATTACTAAATCAGTCAGTTCACGGTTACAAATAATACGCATTATTTAGATAGGTCTTTCAAGATTTAGTAATTTCTAAATTAACTTAGACAAAGTAGGGCCCGGCGAGCGTTATGATGTACGACCCTGAATGCATTTGCAAGAAGTTAGAGCTAATCCTTTTTCTTAACTCTGGTGCCTGGTAAGTCTCATTAGCTATTGCAGATCTGCACTCGCTACCATGTAGCTTCACACAACTGCCTACGCTTTCAAAATATGATGGAGCTACCTATAAATAAATATAAAAGAAGGCAAAAGGTTCAACAACTCCGTGAATTACGCTGTCCCTGCGTGCTACTCAAAGGCAGCTCGTTAATTAGATTTGCATCTGAAACAGGCAGTAGGAGTTTTGGGGAAGTGTTTGAGAGATAATTAGTATTAATGTGCTTGAAGGGCACACAAATACACCTTTGAAGTGAGTCACGTCAGAATTCAAGCGTTTGACCTTGATCAATATACATTTTTTTTCTTCCAGAGTCGATGAACAAGGTCTATAAAATATTTTTAAAAGACATTCCTATGTAGAGCAAGAGGATTTTCTTACACGTTAAAGAGCTCTTAAAAAAAAAAAAAAAAAAAAAAAAAAAAAAAAAAAAAAAAGGAAGCTTTTACTAGCGGCAAAATAAGGGACGGGATACGACCTTTTCCTAAAAGGAATGGCAGGAGGACGAAACGATCTCGAAAGCTACTTCCTATTTTAAGCTGTGCTTAATATTTAGTAGTTCTCCAAGGCTAAAAAGCTTTTCATTATATAGTCGTCTGGAATAAAAGGAAACACATAAAAACCCACAAGCACCCCTCTCCGCCATTACCACCCCTTCCTCCCCCCTTTCTTCTCCACAAGCTAAGCTTTAGCCTCACAAGGAGAGTTTGATCTGGGGATGATAAATGTTTGTACAATTAATTCTTTATTGCTGTTCTTCTGCAATGCCACTTCCAGGCAGTCATGTAGCTCCAGTATATTTAGTAAAAGTAAACGACTGGAAATTAAAGTAATTAAAGCATTGTATCCACGTAAAAATATGAAAACATAAACATGCACGACCCCAATCTTGGAGTGTATGCGGGGCGGGGCAGGGCGGGGGGTCGTTGCTTGCGGGCCAAATCCTTCAGTCCCTCCTAAAACAAGAACCCCTCAGAAAACCCTTCCTCTGGGGGATGCACCGCAACTCGCGTCCTACGGACTCGCAACCTCCGACGAGCTACAAGACAAAAGCGGCAGCAGAAAAATAACTCTGAACATGCCACGAGTCTCCCGATGCTTTCACGGGCATCGCGCAAAGGAGAGCTAAAACGTAATTACTTTCAGTAATTATAGCGATCTCTTCGGAGCAAATTTCAGGGCTCGTCCCGAGCCTACTGCATCGCCCTGTAGATGTGCAGCAAACATTTTACAGTTTGGGATTTGCAGGGCATTTTTCATTAGTGCTCTGAAAAAAAACAATCCCGCAAGATCCTCCTCCCGCCCCCCACCGCAATAATAAACCAAAAAGACTAGTGGGTGGAAGAGTAACACGTTAATGACTTTTGCTCAAATTGCTTCCATCTTGATCACATTTTCATAATTAGCACCATCATCTACAAATCTTTCCGCCCTGGGCATCTGACACAGACAGGCTTCCCAAGCGATGTGTATTCTACTTATTAGGGAGGGGAACACTTATAGGTCTATCATTAATGGTTCCCTTTCAAATGAAATGAATGCGACCTCCAGGAAATATCAAAGGGCTGTAGCTACCTTGTCTCACTTGGTGCAACACTGAATAGCAAGCAACCTTAAGTCGTTTTGCTCTAGTCAGACATCTATACAATAAAACATAAGCCCACTCTTGTATATTTTAAGTTGTCTGGTGACCATTTTTGAAAACAAAAAGGGTCCCTTTGATGTGGTCTAATTCTAACAGGGGGTGGGACGTCAGATGTGGTCTACCGATTCTTTCTGGAAATATTCTTAATTATGCCCCAAAGCTCCTTGTAGCCCCAAAGTAATAATCAGGGAGCAGTTTGAGTCTGTTAGTTAATGTGGAGGGGAGAATAGGCTCTAGACCGTATGTAACTAAATTAGAATTACAACCGATAACGATCTATTAATTCGCTGGAAATGTGTGATTGTCAATGGAACATGTTAGGTATCTATTATTGTTTATGCTTAATCTTGCTAACGGGATATTTCTAAGCCTTCTTTCAGTTAAGCCATAAACCCCAGCGTTTTTCCTGGCAAATCTTTGGGTAAAAGTGAGTATTTGAGACAGCTGTTTTTATCCTTATGCTGTGCGCGCTGTAAGCACACAAAGCACTTGTATTCTTAACTGATTACCCTCGGAGAAGGACCGTATTTTCGGGTCTGTGCATCCAAGATCTTTATGACGAAGCAACGCATATTTCTATTGAGGTATTGCATGGGTGTAAACAGGGGGGGGGGGGGGGGAAATGAAAAATTTTGAGAGGGCCCCCCCCCTCCCACTTAAAAATACCACCTTTAATCTGTAATAAACTTTGCGCACACACGTTTTGCAACGATTCAGCGTTCATGCTGCTGGGAATCAGGATCTGCTTTTACTACGCGGTCCAACGCCTCCGCGGCTGCAGCCGCCGCGCCTGCCCCTCACTCCTCCGGCCCCCAGCGCTGATTTACAACCGGCCCGTTACTCTAACGAGGAGGAAGTTACAATTTGTAGAGCAATAAATACCGAGGCGGTGGGTGGAGCCCCCAGCAGAAAAAAAAAAAATAAAAAAAAATCGCCCTCCTTCACCAATTAAAAATCCATCCTAGCTCGAATGTGGACCGTGGGAAGGTCTCAAAGAAAACACAGGCTCGGTGATTATTGGGTGCTTGTTTGCAATGTGCTAATGTCATCTTCTGAACAGAACCGTCCTGCCCAATGCAGTTCGCTCACACCTGCTGATACGGGGAAGAGGTTATAAAATTCAATTGATTTTATTCAGCTATATTTTGTTTTCTTTGTGGTTTCCTAGCGGGGCTATTCTGCACCCTGTGAACAATATAATCTTGTTTAAATGACTTTCCAGACCACACAGCATCACATTACCCTGTTCTATACGTGTAGGCAATACTGTTTATTGTATTGTACACTATTAACTCCCAGAGGCAGGATGAAGGGAGAGTGGAGGAGGAAAGCTCCGGGGAGTAAATTCATAGCTTCCAAGGTTCAGGTTGCTTTCTCAGGTGGAGAAAATAAGATTTAGATAATTTCAAATGAAAATAGCTAGAAATAATCCTCTGAAGGAGCTGTCAAGCACATAACAGGCATATAATTTCCCCCTTTACCCACTCATATGAAATGTTTTTTTCATGTTTACAGTTACTTTTTATGGTTTATGGACAAACAATCTGAGATCTTCAGATTTAGGATGATACAGTTAATTGTATACATATTATATGCACTACTGCTATCATGCTCTTCAGATGATAAATTAATTTAGACTTATTAAACTTCTGTATTTAGGTTTAAATCATGTGCAAATTACTGATATAATTGAGATCTGCTAACTTATCTGGTATATTATTATTATTATTATTATTATTATTATTATTATTATTATTGACATCAAGATGCAAATGCCTAAATTCCTTACTGCAGGAAATTTCTACTAAAGTTGGCAAGAGTTTCTTTGGCTGCAGACTGAAGGATTAATCCTTCATTCAGAGTCCATAGAATTCACTAAGAGCCTTTTCTTTAACGCCAGTGAATTTGGATCAGGCCCAATCTTATTACTAGAAAAATTATTTTCCCTTGTTCTCAGATAATCTCTTAATGGTTTACTGAATGAAAATATTCCAAACAATGAATGCAGCAACATTAAACAAAATTTTAAGGTCTGTTTCTTCCCTCTGTTGCTTACTCCTTTTCAATACAAGAAACAAAGGAAACAGTAGAAGAAATATAACACTACCAAAATATGTGAGACGGTGCAGTTTAGATGACTGTCACGTGGCTTGTAAAGATTTGTGGCAGGCTCAAACTGTGCTACAATAGGGATATTCAGACCAATACAGAACTGTAAACTGCAACCATGAAAATAACTAAACACAAGGGATATGGGGATGTCTAAGAAGAGGATAAAGGGAGTATAGAAACAATAGAAATGTAATTTGTTGGTTACTTGGGGATCAGATTTGCATACTCGCTTCACACCTTTGATATCTCATTTATTACTTAATAGCCTGAGCTCCTAGAAAAAGCTTTCCTCCTTTTTTTTTGGTAACTCAGCATGTAGTTTTGAGATTGGCTGCAAAGCATTTATTTAGATTTACAGAGAGGTGTGGTGTACCTCAGAGAAGTATCTGGCCCATATCCATAATGTAATTGTGCTTCGTGCCTGAAGGACCTGCTATTCAGATGAATCTTACTACTTTTAGAATTTATCCCTCAGTTACTTTCACAATCAGAGGCTTGTTACGATTTCATTCAGCCCTGCAAATCTTTGGGAATTGGGTTACCTGAAGATAAAAGATCTCTCTTTCTCCAAGCTGTGGTTGGATCAACACTTTGCAAAATCAGATGACAGGTAGGGGTCAGGCCTAGGTCTGCGCATGGGGCTGCCCAAGCACCAGGGATAAAAGCTGAAAGTAGCTGCCTTAGGGACGTGCCACGTGCATGAACATATGTCCCTGGAAGAAAAAACCTGGTGCCAGGAATTATCGACTCCAACCTGAAGAT